ACCACATAAGAGATGTCACTGCTGCCCCAATAACATGGGGGTGGCAGTCAGCAGAGCCCCAGTCACTCTTGGCACATGCGGACAGCACCATGCACTGACCTCACAGCCCCTCTTGCTAGGCAGGTGCTCTCAGCACTGAACCATCCCCAGCGGTTGGCTTGAAGATTTGAAGTGTTTTCTTACTCATGGGGAAAGGGGGGATGGGGAGGATGTTTATCTAACATGGAACTAATTTGCCTATTTCCACTCTCAACCTCTTAAAGTAATGTAAGTAACCACTTCCTCCCAACATCATATTGGAAGTTCAAGTTCACACCATAAAATAAGAACCAGGGGCTGGAGCAATAGCACAGTGGGTAGGGCGTTTGCCTTGCACACAGCCGACCCGGGTTCGATTTGCAGCATCCCATATGGTCCCCTGAGCACCACCAGGAGTAATTCCTGAATGCATGAGCCAGGAGTAACCACTGTGCATCACCAGGTGTGACCCAAAAAGAAAAAAAAAAAAAAGAACCAGAAGTTCAAAGTGTGTGGAGATTGGGAAGATGTAAAAAACCCTTGGTCCACAAGTGAAGCAACTGTGCATAAACAAAATCCAAATCCACTGAGATGTTCCAAAAGCATCTTGGGAACTAATACAATTCCAGTGGGCTGTATAATAGAAGGGTAAACCCCTACATGTTAGTAATGAATCACTAGAACTTAGATTTGAAACATAATATCACCTACATTAGCAGCACCACCACCAACAAAACGAAGTACTTAGAAACCTAACAAAACATGTTTAACATCTGCATGAGGAAAATTACAAAAACGTAATGGACCAAAATAAATAATAAGAGCAATGAAGACATATTCGTGTTGACTCTCGTGGGAAACTCAATATAGACTCAGCTCTTTCCAGCATGACCTACAGTAGCAATCAGATACCCACCACGTCAGTTTGCAAATAGTGTCAAACATCCCACCTTTATTTGTTTGGGGTTTGTTTTGTTTGGGAACTACAAGCAGTGATGCTCAGGGGTTGCTCCTGGCTCTGTACTCAGGAATCACTCATGGAGATGTTCACAGGACCATGCGGGATACTGGGAATTGAACGCAGGTTGGTCGTATCGAAGAAAACACCCTACCTGCTGTCCTACTGCTCTGGCCCCAGGTTCTACCTTTATGTGTGAAGATCTACCCAAAGACAAAAACACAGCAGAGGCTGTGAGAAGGCTGGAAATACTCCTGACTACTTTGTAACCCAAACAGGGGTGTGAGCAAGTGAGGAACAGGCCGATTCACAGGACAAGATGGAGCCCAGCAGCAAACCCACACAAATGGGGCCCATTGTGTCAGACAGCAGAACAGACACCTAGGAGAAGAATTTGTGGGTATTGATGCCACATCAGATGGACACGGGCCTTACTCCCTCCCAGTGTGCCCCGTGAAGCCTTACGAAACACAGAGCCAAGTCTTTAATGTCCAAATGGTAAGAGACTAGGAAACTGTGATGGCGGAGGTGGTGGTGGTGATGTTCTCAGATAAAACGCCAAAAATATAAGGCGGAAAAGGAAACACTGGAGGGCCAGGGAGGTGGCGAAGGAATGGGATGAGATAGGCAAACTTTGCACACCAGATCACCGGTTCCATCCCTGTTAGGACTGAGTATAGCTCCAAAACACTGAAAGTTTTAGTCCATTAAATCTTTTCATTGCCCTCCCACAAAAAAAGAAAAGAAAAAATAGTTTAGAGAATAAAAGCAAATAGACTCAGGCTAGGAGAAAATATCTGCAAAATGCATGTATGATAAGAGGCTTTTATTCCCAATATACTAAGAACCCTGAAAGGCCAACATTGAGCAAACAAGCCAGTGTAGAGTCTCCAGGGAGGAAGAGCTCAAAAAAGGAGCTGAGCACACACACGCAAACAGAAGCCCCTTAGGGGGGCTCAGAGTCCCTCCTGGAGGGGCTCTGGGTACTATCTGGGCGGGGGGGCAGGGAGGGAACCAAGGTGGGTTCCCATGCAAGACAAGCCCCTCCCCGCTGTCCTATGCCCCCAGCCCTGCATGCACTTTGGGAAGCTCCAGGGCAGGTCTAGGCTGGAGCACAGGATATGTAGGCGGGAGGCTTGGGTTCAAACCCGCCCTGTGTGACTCTCCCCCACCCCCCAGCCCTTCTGGACGGACCCACAGGGGTCGAAATCCAGTGGACCCCCCACATGGGGCTGCCCCACCATGCACACCTGGGAGCCACAGAGCAGAGGCCCAGCCGCCTGTCGACACCCGCACAGAGGCCAGCGGCCCCCAGGACAGAGCCGTGTTCCACACCCCATCCGCCCTCACACCAACCTGCATCAGAGGATAACCATGCACAGCAGCACTCTGGGAGGGCGCCGCCAAGGCCGCCGAACTAGCATGGTAACTGCCACCTGGCTTGCCTGCTCCCCAGGGTGTGCTGGGTGCTGCCAGGGGATCTCCTGCAAGGTAAAAAGCACGCACCGTGAGTCCCGAGCCTGGGACCTCGTGCTCGCCAAGGCTGAGGCACACAGGGAAGTGCACAATTAAGCTGGAAAATAAGCCAGCGGCTACACCTGGGAGAACGGTGCTTTGAGTGCTGGCAGCAGGGATGGACTGGTCAGACAGAGGATTTTTTGGCTTTTCCTGGAGCCTTTCCTGCATCACACCGTGACATCAAGCGTGGGCTTGGAGCCTCAGTTAACAGTCCTAATTGGGTAATCTAACACCAGCCACACAAAAGCAGATACAAGAGATTCATAATTGAGCAACTGGGGGAGTAGGGGCATGGTTGAGAAGCCGCCAGCCTTTCTGTTTTACTGTCTGTAAGCCTTACTCATACAAAAGACTCTCTCCTGGCTTCTGATGGTGCTTTCCAAGGCCTGTCAGGATTGGTTTGACAGGTGAGCTGGAGTGCCCTCCTGCCACAGGAAGCCAGATTATGACATTTAAACAAAGGTTGTTACAAGATCTGTTTTAACCTGAGAGCTCCAAGGCCTTCTTTTTGGATCTGGAAAATTCTGAGTATGGCCTTCATAATGAAGATACACTTAGGACCCCAAATTCCTGGTCAGGAGTTATGTCTAAATAGAGTCTATCTTTCTTGCATTTGTACACTTCACTTCACTTTACTTCCCGTTAGTCGTCGATTTGCTCGAGCGGGCGCCAGTAACGTCTCCATTTGTCCCTGTCGCGTGCTAGTGTAGCCCAATGGCATCTCTTCACTCCGGGAACATGAAGGGCCTCAAACCAATCGTTCATGATCTTGACGAAGAAGTCTGACCATCTGGTAGGTGGGCGACCACGCGGTCTTTTGACATCCCGTGGAATCCAGTCGGTAACAGCTCTAGTCCAGCGGTCGTCTTTAAATCTCATTACGTGACCAGCCCATCTGATTTTCGACACCTTGGCAAATGAGACAGTGTCCCTGATTCTTGATCGTCGACGGATGTCAGAACTCCGGATTTTTTCTCTCATTTGAGTGAAACGTGATATTCCAAGCTTAGCTCTTTCTATTCTTCTTTGGGAGACCTGAATGGCGTTCTCATCTTGTTTGCGTAGGGCCTAGGTCTCTGAGGCATATGTTAATGCAGGAAGAACAGTGAAATCAAAGAGATGTGACCGGAGCCGGAGGTTCTTCGTCCTCTTAGCTATTTCTTCGACGTTCTTGAAGGCGTTCCAAGCCGCTCTCTTCCTCCTGCGCAGCTCGGGTGCCAGGTCATTTGTCATATTGACCTCTCGACCTAGGTACACATAGCTGTTGCATTCGGAGATGGTCGTTCCATTGAGAGCGAATGGGGCGTCAGGAACGAGGCTGTTTCTCATAAACATTGTCTTCGTAAGATTCAGCTGTAGTCCTACCTTTCCACACTCATGGTCAAAGTCGGCCAGCATTTGTGCCGCTTGGCTGATGTTTGGTGTAACTACAACTGGTCTCATTCACCTGACCCTAGGAAGGCATTTGTACACAGACTTTGTAATTGTTTGTCAGAAAAATAACTGAATGAGAAAACGAGGACACGAGGACTGGAGAGGGGAGAGAGAGAGAAAGAGAGAGAGAGAGAGAGAGAGAGAGAGAGAGAGAGAGAGAAAGAGAAAGAGAGAGAGAGAGAGAGAGAATGCTGCTTAGGGACCAGAGGCACTGTTGGCAGTAGGATCCCTTGGACAACTGCTTGGAAGGTCCAAATTAAAAAAAAAAACTTTAAATGAATAAATAATTTTATATATGGGTATATGGGTTGGATAAGAATTTATAACTTAGATTCCAGAGTGATAGTACAGTGAAGAGGGCATTTGCCTTACACGTGGCCAGCTAGGGTTCATTCGACCCCTGGCATCCCATATGGTCCCCCAATCCCCTGCCCCCAGGAGTGATTCCTGAGCACAGAGCCAGGAGTGAGTCCTGAGTACTGCTGGGTGTGGCCCAGAAACACATAAACACACACCAGGAAAAAATAAACCCCTTAATCCTTTTCATTGATTTCTGTTCTTCCTCTAAAGCCAATATATGTGTGTTGCTTATTACGTTAAAAGTTGTCACATGATGCAGGTGTGATAGCCTGGGAATGATTCAGTGTCTTCACAAGCCACTAGTCACTGTGCAGCACAGCAAGATGCTGTGAACTCAGTGCCCAGTGCCACATGGAACCATCACCCTCTGACAACACAATAGAAGCTGTTTCCAGACTTTTGTATCTTCTTTGTCGGGCCACTCTGTCCAGGGCTGGGGAGAAACTTGGCCTTACCTCTACTATTGTGTGCTCTGCCACTTCAGCTAACATCATCTCCGCAAGCGCTCCACCTCAGTAAGCCTCTCCAGGTATGAGGTACCTTGTTCCTCACAGGTACACCAGCACATGACAGGATTTGTGTTGGAGAGGTCCTATGGGAGGCTATTGGCACATAGTAAATGCTCAGTGAGAGATACCCTTGTTGTGGCACATTTAAGGATTGCAGATTAATAAGGAAGGAAAAGGCCGGTCTTTTTTTTTTTTGGAAAAAAAGAGAGAACTTTATTTTAAAGAAAACAGAGCATAATGCTGTAAGGGTGTGAGGGTGGATGACATAGGTAAATTTAACTACTAAAAATGCTGCTCAGACATGGCTTCCTACCACAGAGGAACCATTTGACCCTTACCTCACTTGCCTTCCCTGATTCAAAAAAATATCTACTCTTAGCAGGATTGGACCCAGGGAGCCCCATTGTCCAGTATCTTTGTCCTTACAGTTTGGGAAAAGTTGTATAATTATCAGACTTTCAAGATAAAAGACTGTATAGTACAGCCTTTTGTTCCAGCAGTTTTCCCCTGGCACATCCCTTAGTAGTTGTTGATGCCAAAGAGATGAACTCCATGGAATTGGGGCAACTTTGGAAGTAGTACACTTAGCAATGAGGTTGTGTTGATGAAGAAGTGAGCAGCATCATATTTGGTGTAGAAACTGGCCAGAAGTTGGTGTACAATAGGAGAGATGCTGAGGAATTTTCTGGAAGATGTAAATTGTAGCCCATAGTCCATCTGTTCCCAGTGTGTCAGCAGCCGAGCCTTTCCTTGGTCATGGGTTTCCAAAGGTGTCCCTTTCACTGTTTGCAGGAAAACATACATAGCCAAGTTATGGATGACATTGGTCAGGGTCCAGATGACTGGAATGCTGAAGAAGGGGATGCTGAGGAGAACCATATGCAGCAGTCCTACTAGGACGATGTAGGCCAGCCAGATGCCCCTGCTATTCATCACTCGGGTGTTTGGGTTGACTTCGCTGTGTGCCACCCTCACATTCATCCTGCCAGCTTCTGAAGCCCGTTGGGCTCGGGACGCGGCGCTCGCTTCTACACCTGCAGTCTCCAGGAAGCTGCCCAAGGCCAGTCTTTTGTACCAAGTGCAGAAACGACCTCTTGAAATCCCTAAAAAATTCAGCATATAAACACACTGAGAGGCATTTTATCTATGCCACTTTGGTCTCAAGCGTATTATTAAGCTTGTTGTCTAATTCTTTCTAAATTTGCCTTTTTTGCTTTTTGCTTATATTCAACAGTTGTTATATGTTATGGTAAAATGTGATTTTTTAAAATCTCTACAGAAATGAAGTAAAAAGCTTACATTACAAAACCACTGCACTGATCAAAGAAAAAAAATCCTTAGACATTAGAACCGGGCCTGTTATCCGGGAGGAGCTAGGTCGGTGCCTAGGAAGTGCATGTCTGAACGCTCCTGAAGGTATTTTTCCGCTGCTTGCTTGTTTGAGCAGTGCTCCCTCCACAACCTTTCAGTGTGAATCTCAGCACTGAGAAAAGCATCAAGCCTCACAACCGACATGGGAGCTGAGCTTCTAAAAAGTTAGCAAACTGCCTGCTGGATCTGGCCTTGAGCTCTGTTCGTGATGGTAACACCCTTGTTCTGAAGTTTCTGGGATCTGGAAACAAGACCCACGTCAGTCTCAAACCAATTTTGAGGCCAAAACAATTCCCTGTTGGTAGCTTAACGATAGGTCAGTAAATGAATTTGCTGTATGTTACCCCCAGGGCTGTCCCTTAAAGAACTCAAAGTACCTAGTGCAGTCCTCTTAAATGTTCAGTTACTGATGTGCACTACATTAATTATTGGCTGATATTATCCAGTTTGTTTTGAGCCCACACTCAACCATGTTCAGGGCTCATTCCTGGCAGTATTAAAGGGACCGTGCAGTGCCAGAGATCTAAAAGACCTTGGGCAAAGAAAGCATGTACTTTAGCCTCCTAAGTGAGCACTCCAGTTCCTCAGTTGTCTTAGCTACTATAAACCATATTCTTTTCCATTCCAGATACTTGGAGACACCACCACCAAATATCTTCAATAAATTTTATTAGGCAATGAAATTTATCAGTTAGTCATGCTTTAATTTTTTTCCTCTAATTCTTCTATGTGGGGTGTGGGGATGTTGGATTACACCTGTTCTCTGCCCAGGGGCTACATCCATTGCTATGTGCAGGGTCTATGCCTTGCTGGGGATCAAAGCCTGGTCTTCTGCATGCAAAGGGTGCCCACTAGCCTTGTGGCCTGTCTCCCCAGCTTAGAGAATTTTTTAAAAGATTACCAAAAATGTGAATGAGACCAGTTGTAGTTACTGGTTTTGGCATATCGAATACACAGCGGATAGCTTGCCAGGCTCTTCCGTGCGGGCGGAATACTCTCGGTAGCTTGCCAGTCTTTCCGAGAGGGATAGAGGCTTTTGGGGTGACCTCTAATCACCCTTGTAGGTGTTACCATATTTGACCCCTATCAAATATGGTACGACAATTCCAGAAGATGGGTATTTAGTGTCTTATGATGTGTCAGCGGCCGCGCGGGTCCGGAAAGCGTCGTGGAGTGTGGCAACGGCTGGGTAGTGGAAGTAGTGTCGAGAGTGGAAGTCTGCCAGTGGGGTATTTATCTGGGTAGGGTGGGTCTCCTGTGCACAATTCGATCCCTGGGTGGTTGATGGAAGCAGACAGGGCAGGGTAGGGTGGGGCTCCTGATTAGAATCCCTTTGTCACCTGTGGTGGTGGGAGCAAGCAGAGAAGCTCTGTCCCTGGGTCCGCCGAGCCTGGAGTCCAAGGTCTCAGAGAGTTCCGCTTATCTTGTTCTGTGGGTCTTCAGTTGTGCGTGGGTCTCGGCCGGAGCTGCTGCGCGGGTCCGGAAAGCGTCGTGGAGTGTGGCAACGGCTGGGTAGTGGAAGTAGTACTGGTAGATGCGGCAGAAGCCGGGAAAAGTATTCGTAAGGCCCGCCTGTCCTTCGCCAACTATAAGAGCAAGATGACTGCCCTCCGACGTCCTGATGGATCCATCACATCCTCCAGAATGGCAATGGAGAAGATTATCCATGACTTCTACTCAAATCTCTTCGATAGCCATGTCCACTTGCCAACATACCAAATTCCACAGGATGGGTATGTTGTTCCCAACGTTCTCCCCTCCGAAATCCGACACGCCATTTCGTTGGTAAAGAAACAAACAGCACCCGGCCCAGACAAGGTCAGACCTGAACACCTGAAGAACCTGCCGTCAGTACTCATCAATACACTGGCTCGGCTCTTCACTCGCTACCTGTCTGAATGCAAGGTTCCGTCCCAATTGAAAACCAGCAGGACCGTACTACTGTTCAAGAAGGGAGACATCCATGACATAGGCAACTATCGCCCGATCTGCCTATTGTCTGTCATCTACAAGTTGTTCACTCGAGTCATCCTGAATAGGATTGGCAGAACATTAGATGAAGGACAACCATGCGAGCAAGCAGGGTTCCGCAAAGGATTCAGCACCATCGACCATATCCACACGATAACCAAGCTCATTGAGGTTTCTCGGGAGTTCAAGATGCCGCTCTGCTTAACGTTCATTGATTTAAAGAAGGCCTTTGATTCTGTTGAGACGGAAGCGGTCATTGAAGCCCTAGCCAATCAGGGCATTCAAGCCCAATACATCAGGATCCTCCGTGAGCTGTATTGCGGATTCACTACCAGGATCTCACCATTCTACAAAGAAGTGATCGTTGATGTCAAGAGAGGGGTGCGGCAGGGTGATACCATTTCACCGAAACTCTTCAGTGCCACCCTCGAGAACATCATGCGACGACTGGAATGGGAAGGAATGGGAGTGAAGATAGATGGTCGGCAACTACACCACCTCCGCTTTGCTGATGACATTGTTTTAATAACACCAAACATCAGCCAAGCGGCACAAATGCTGGCCGACTTTGACCATGAGTGTGGAAAGGTAGGACTACAGCTGAATCTTACGAAGACAATGTTTATGAGAAACAGCCTTGTTCCTGACGCCCCATTCGCTCTCAATGGAACGACCATCTCCGAATGCAACAGCTATGTCTACCTAGGTCGAGAGGTCAACATGAGAAATGACCTGGCACCCGAGCTGCGCAGGAGGAAGAGAGCGGCTTGGAACGCCTTCAAGAACGTCGAAGAAATAGCTAAGAGGACGAAGAACCTCCGGCTCCGGGCACATCTCTTTGATTCCACTGTTCTTCCTGCATTAACATATGCCTCAGAGACCTGGGCCCTACGCAAACAAGATGAGAACGCTATTCAGGTCTCCCAAAGAAGAATAGAAAGAGCTATGCTTGGAATATCACGTTTCACTCAAATGAGAGAACGAATCCGGAGTTCTGACATCCGTCGACGATCAAGGATCAGGGACGCTGTCTCATTTGCCAAGGTGTCGAAAATCAGATGGGCTGGTCACGTAATGAGATTTAAAGACGACCGTTGGACTAGAGCTGTTACTGATTGGATTCCACGGGATGTCAAAAGACCGCGTGGCCGCCCACCTACCAGATGGTCAGACTTCTTCGTCAAGATCATGAACGATCGGTTTGAGGCCCTTCATGTTCCCGGAGCGAACAGATGCCATTGGGCTACACTAGCACGCGACAGGGACAAATGGAGACGTTACTGGCGCCCGCTCGAGCAAATCGACGACTAACGGGAAGTTAAGTGATAAGATTAAGTGACCAAAAATGTGCCATAATCTAATTACTGAAAATAAAAGTCTACTGTTTTCTCTTTTTGAAGTGTCTTATGTTTTAGAAAAACGATATAAGTACTTATGTATTGTCGCAAACTGATGAGACATATTGAATCCTTGAAAATTAATTTTCTCACTAGAATACTTACCAGACTCATTATCAACCCAAATTAACTACAGTTCATATCCTAATTGGGCTCAATTCACCTGTGGGGCAGGTGGGTATTTGTTAGCAGATAAATAATTGAGTGAAAAAATAAACAAATGAAACCATTTTATAGTCGCATCCAACTAATACTTAAATATCTATCAGAGACATCTTGTTAATATTTGAAATTTTCCCCAATTGTAATTAGAAAGAGGTGATTTTCAACTAATGAGGGCACAAAGAATTTATAATTTATTGACAAGTAATTTTTCACATGGCATCAATTTTATTTCATTTATTAAAATAATATTTATAATAACTCACATAATCAAAATAAGCCAGTCCTAAACATTTTTTTTGGCTTTTTGGGTCACACCCAGCAATGCTCAGAGTTACTCCTGGTTCTGCACTCAGGAATTACTTCTGAGGGTGCTTGGGGGACCATATGGGATGCCAGGGATGGAACCCAGGTCAGCTGTGTGCAAGGCAAATGCCCTACTGGCTGTACTATCACTCTGGCCCCATCCTAAACATAGCGCAGCAGGTAGGGCGTTTGCCTTGCACGCAGCCAACATGGCCGACCTGAGTTCGATTCCTCTGCCCCTCTCGGAAAGCCCGGCGAGCTACCGAGAGTATCTCGCCCACACGGCAGAGCCTGGCAAGCTACCCGCAACGTATTCAATATGCCAAACACAGTAACAACAAAGTCTCACGATGGAGACGTTACTGGACCCGCTCGAGCAAATCGATGAACAATGGGAGGACAGTGACAGTGACAGAAAATAATGGTGGTGTTTGACTATATATTTTCAATTGTCATGGCACCCTCAGGCATTTTTCAGCAATAGAAAAATACACTTCATATCAACTATAAGAAGCAACCCTCTTATAATCTCCCCATCAGGATGCAAACTGAAACAACACATCAGTCCTGAGAGGACATGGCTCAACTCCTGCATGCTCTCTCCAGTAACTCTTGGGTGTGGAAGACTCAGTGGGTCTGCTGGTCAAGGAGGGAGCAGGGACTCAAGTATCATCTGACAAAAACTCCGGTTCTGCAAGTCTTAGATGATCCTAAGACTACAGGAAGAAAACAACATGTATCCTAAATTTCTAACATTCTGCGGTTTGCCCTGTCAGCTAGAATTACCTAGACCTATGCATGCTGTTGTGACAAAAACCTCAAGTATGTGGTGCTGAATTAGCACTCAGGAAGCAGCTCAAGGGAAGTGACTGCCAAAGGTGGAAGAGTGGTGACGAAATTTGATAATTGAGCTCATGAAGCAGGTCTGTGCATGTGTATTTCCAAAGCACTTGTCCTCCAATTGGGGATTGCTTTTTCCCCAGGGGTATGGCTGGCAGTAACCAAGACAATAAACCAGCAAGTGTACTTATATGTTCAGACCAACTTAAATGTTAGGATTCTTCTCCTTAGTTAAGATTTATAACATCAGAATGAATGAGTCATTTGCATGGTCAGCAGACAATCCCACTTCATTCGTTCTTCCTTTTTGAGCCACTTCTTCATTCTTCCTTTTTGAGCACTTGTTCTACTGTCCATTGTAAATTTCCATGTATCCTACACATTGCCTAGAATGTGTCTTACAGAGAAAAAGTATACAGTTCATGTCTGTTGAGTCCCAAGCTTCAGAGCAGGCACTACTCCGACACCACTGACCCTGGTCTTTGATTGGGAGATGTTCACGATTCAGTTGAGATACACAGCCCTGAAACCCCTTCACAGTGCAATGAGTCTGACAGAATCTGAGATCTTATGCTTTGTACAGCCTTAGGTTATCTCCCCTGGCTCTATTCTATGGGCATTCTTTTGCTCCCAAATTCTAATCGCCCAGGATTACATCAGACTGCATAAAGTAGCCTGTTGCCTTAGAAAGGTAAACAGGTAAGAGTCTATTTCTGAGGAATATGGTTTTAATGGTTTGATGCCCTTTTGACAATTGGGGTAAAACAGACATTTTTGTGCTGTAACAACAATGAAGACATTTTTGTGCTGTAACAACAATGAAGTCTCCAAAACAGACTATGACTGTGTATGACAGGGAATGCTTAAGGCAAGGCATTTTGAGTACCTCAGAAAAGCTAAGAAGATACAGTAAGAAACTAAGTGATTCTATTGGTTGTTCTGCAACAAAATAATCAGGTGAATAGAGCTTAGCTTAAATGAGCATTCAGTCAGTTATTTCCAGGTGCCTCTCAGGGCTTACTGTAGATGGTGAGCAAATTGGCAGTCTAAATTTGCCTCCTAGACTTAAATTCTGCTTTTCAGTTGAAAATAGAAATCCGGACTCAAGAGAGTTGTGAACACAAGCGTGCAGGTAATGGCAATGGATTAAGTCATCTGGTAAAAACAAAGGGCAAAGACAAGTGTAAATATAGAGGACAGAAGACTGAGAAAGTATGAATAAGCAAAGGAAAACACAAGGGTATCTTTACATAAGGGTAAGTACTTATGTAGGAAGCTTACAATTGAACCAGAGAGTTTTGGAGAGTTTTTTTTTAATTTGTTGGTTTTTCCTTTGAGACTGCTAGATGAACTCAAAATATTTGCACATTTTATTTTCTTAATCATGAGCTTTAAACTGTTGGAGTGAGAATGTCTCACTGAGCATGACTAACCAGAAATCAGAAAGTGGGTGATTCAAGTTTCTATTAGGTTGACAGAGGAAAATTAACCATATAACCTTTATAACCTTGTAATAGGGCAATTAAGAGGAGGTTGTTGCCACAAGGGCAATAAGAAGCAGAAAAGTGTGTTATACATGGTATGGGGTATATAAAAGAATAGTGTTGAAAATAGGAGGTTAAGAGATTGCATAAGTGATAGGAGTCAGTTACCTAAATTTAAACTCTTACTTGCAGCAAATGATCATCAACAATTAAGAGTGTGGGCCATGCAGCAGCTCTACCTAATTCGTGACTTGAGATGTAACATATTCTTCAGTAATGGGTGGCTCTAATGATAATATTTAAGAATGAAACTGTAACCTTCATCCTTAAACAGAATTCACTCAAAACAGAATTGTAGCTAACCAGTATTGGAAGCTTTCAGAAAAGAGCAAATAACTATCAAGCAAAGAACCAAGGGCAGCCTAAACAGCCTAGAGATTTAAGATTCAAACTCAAGGTCACCAAAGAGGGAACCTTTTACTAAATATTAAAGTTTAAAACCACACACCTAAACAATAACGTTAATTTTACCACTAGGTGGCAATGAGAGTGCTGAAATGCACTGACAAGGTAAATTTTTGAAGCGGTGAGTAAATCCACACAGAAATTCCAAAAGCTTTATAATACAAACTTTCATTTTAGAAAAGTGAACAATTATTCATAGGTTATTGTTAACAAAACATGTAATAACCTTATCTAATATTACATAACTTCTGATGCTCTTTTCCTTTGCAGTAAGGCAATTCATGCCACACAATTTTTAAAGTTATCATCAGAAACATCTTTTTAAAAAATTAGACGTATCATAAGGATAACAGTAATCATGGAAAGCTTAAATCCTTGTTAAGTTATACAAGTCTAAAGAAGGCACTATAAAATATAAAGTATTCCAAAGAAATTAAACCTTTAAAAAAAAGACTGAGAACAGTTCTGCTTTGTTTTTTTAACACTGAAACATAAAATAAGGGCACTTTGAAGTTACAGAGTATACAAATAGGTAAAATGTCTTCAGTGTATTGAATAAATATATGGCGCTTACCTGGAAAGCTTATCAACGCAAATTCTAGAATGCCTTTCAGAAGTGTCAAATAATAAATGATAAAATCCTTTAGAATCTGACACTTTACATAATTATTTCTGCCCTTATAAAATAGAGCACAACCTATGGCTTATTAAAATAATAAAACTTTATTCTTTTCTTCTTATCAAACTAAAGGGGAGGAGAGCTAAGACAAATTTTTTCAAATTACATTTTCAAGTACACAGTTGGGAAAAAAAAACAACCTTTCAAATACCCAAAAAGCTCTCCCATATATAACACAGGAATCCATATTACCACATATAACATTACTAAACCTGTGCTATAATTAGATGAATAATAAAACCATGAGACCCAATGATTAGATAATCCTACAGATTCGCTTTACATAAATAACCTAAAATTCCCCAAATGTTCAACTCATTTTATACAAATCGATCAGAACATCTTTTATCAGCTTCATTTATTAATCACTTCCCACATATATTTCATTTCCCCAAAATTATCCCCATCTTGATACCCACCCAAAAATAACAGAAATGTGATTCCTAAGATTTTATAATTTATAGACTAGTTTTTTTGTTGGATTTTATTTTGAATTATTATAGATCACCCTGAAATCAACAACCAAAGTATTCCATTCCATTCAGGCATATAGATTTACCAAACTGGTAGCTATTTAAGACAGATAGCACATAGAGTGCTATAGTAGCACTGACAAAGGAGAGAAAAGATTTGATTTCAGGAAAGTGTTCAATCTCATTGTTATCTGTAATTCCTAGGGAAAAAATCAGTAAATGCTATTAGAGAAATGCTAACTGAAGATGTACAAAAGTGAATACATGTGTCCACGACATTTGTTGTTTATACAGTATCGGCTTCTTGAACAGCTGCACAAATAAAGGGACAAGAGACACACACAGATGATGGGAAACACAATGCTCAAACCACTTAGATACATCTTGTATTTCACAGGACTGTTTCTGTGAATTCAGAAAACAAAAGACATTGAGCCATATTGCCAAGAGATTAAAAGTTACAATATCAAATAAGAACACTGAAATACCATTATTGACTTGAGTTTGACATCTTATGCTTATTTCTGATAGTAGCTCGAAGTTTACGTATCACCAGTCTATCAGGCAGAATCATATCCCCTTGTTGTTCAAGATAAGCTAATAAATTCTCCGTCCACTGTAAAGCAGCAGCATGATTAATGTGTTTCTCTGGGACCAGCTCTATTTCCTCTTCCTCATTTTCACTGGACTCATCTGTCTGGCCCTGTGCTCGCCTGATAATTTCACTATCACTTAACACTTCATAGCCTGGCTCTGTACTGTCCACTTCCAGCCACTTTTCGATGTTGTCAGTAGTCACATTTTCCAGTCCTTTGGTGTGCTGTAAAACGGTGGCCACGGTGGCCACTGAGATATCTTCTCCATCCAGGTCCAGGCCTTCCTTCTCGTCTATGGCCGGGAGAATCTTCTTCCACGCTCTGGTGATGGTAACTGGCTTCACTAAGTTCCACGACATGGCTATCTCATACAGTGCATCCAGCAGGGTCAGCCTCTTCCAGTAGGAGCGCAGGTCGTTGCCTTCTTCCAGGTTGTTCTGGAGAAGACCCAGGCGGTAGTTCCTCTTCATGGTGGCGATGACACCCTGACCGGAGGGCTGAACGAGGGCGGCCACATTGGGCGGCAGGTACTTGGCGAAGATCTGGCCATCATCGGAGCGCAGCACATTCTCGTTGGGGTGAGTTGGGGAGTTGTCGAGCAGGAGCACGGCCTTCTCCTGCAGGCCCTTGGAGCGCAGGTATTCCCGGACCTGGGGCACAAAGATCTTGTCGAACCACTGGCGGAAGATGGACAGGTCCATCCAGGCGCCTCTCTGGCTGAAGTAGGACACGGGGAGGTTGGCGGTGTCCGCGGCTTTGCAGGAGCGCGGCCGCCGGGCCTTGCCCACCACGCACAGCTTGAGCTTGTGCGCACCGGTGGCGTTGGCGCAGCACAGCACGGTGACTCGGTCCTCTGTGGGTCGTGGGGCGCCCCGGGCGCGTGCCGGCAGACAACGCCAGAAGAGCCCCGTTTCGCCGGCGTGGTACACCTGCTCAGGCTGCAGGTTCTCACGCCGCAGGAAGTCATCGAAGCTGCCGCAGAAGTCATCCACGGCCGCCTGGTCGCCCGCCAGGCCACGGGGGCGCGGGCGTCGCCCACTCAGCTCGCGGATGCTGTGGCGCTGCTTGAAGCGTGTGAGCCAGCCAGCCGAAGGGTTGAAGTCGCCATCCAGGCCCAGCGCATAGAAGAAGAACTCTGCGCGCTTGGCACACAGCGGGCCCGAAACAGGCCTGCCACGGGCGCGCTGCTGGTTGAACCACTCGAGCATGGCGCGGTCCAACTCCTCATACATGGACGGCTTCATGGACTTGCGCTTGGCCAGCAGGCTGCTAGAGTCCGAACTGCTGGCGTAGGTGATGAGCTTCTCCTTGTTCTTACGGATGTCGCGTACCGTGGTCTCACCTATGCCGTACACGCCCGCCAGCTGCTTGGACGAGCCGCCGTCCTCCAGCTTCTTGATGATGTCCAGTTTGTCCTTGATGGTCAGGACCACCCGCTTCCGCTTGCCGGCCATGGTGTGGCCGGAAGAAGGATACCGCACGGCCACCTCGGCGGTGCCTCAGAGGCTCTTTCAAAGACCCCTTCAGAGGTACCTCAGAAGCCCCCTCAGAGGTGCCTCAGGCTCTCTCAGCGACCCCCTCAGAGGTGCTTCAGAGACCCTCTCAGCGACCTCCTCAGAGGTGTCTCAGGGACCTCCCCTGCGGCACCTAGGGGTGCCCTCAGAGACTCCCTTAGCGACCTCCCCAGCGGCCCCTCAGAGGTGTCCTCAAGAGATCCCCTCAAGCCGCGCCTCAGCGGCCCCTCAGCGATCCTCTCAGAGGTGCCTCAGAAGCCCCTTCAGCGGCCTCCTGAGGGCCTCCTCAGCGGCGCCTCAGCAACCTCCCTCAGCAGCCCCTCAGCGACCCCTCACCGGCGCCTCAGCCGCGCCTCGGCCGCCGACGGGGCGCACGCTCGCGAACTGCGGGCCGCGCCTCACCCTGACCCCGCCGGGCGCGCAGGCCCCGCCGCGCTGCGGCCCGCCCGGACCCCGCTCCCGCAGCTCATGCCCGTCTCAGACGCCTCGCAGCGCCGGGCCGGGAGAGCGGAAGGGCCGGGGCTGCAGGGCCGGCGCCCACCTCAGTCTCCACACGGGCCGCGCTCCGCCCCGCCGTGCGCTCCCGGAAGAGGCCGCCGCGTGCCCCACCCCGCCCCGCCCTCGGCCCGCCCCCGGGGCGGGACTTCCCCCTGGGGTCCGGAAGGGGGCGTGGCCGGCGCGGGCGGAGGCTTGGTGACAGGTGAGGCGGTCGAAGCCCGCGGCGCCGAGTTCCGGGTAGGGCTGGGCCCGCGGCGCCGCTCTCTGCACAGGGAAGAAGGGGCGGGGACCAGGCGTGGGGCAGGAGCCAGCGCCGCGGCTAGCGGGGAGCTGTCCAGGGTCCGAGCTGCCCGCCCAGCCCAGGGGCGCGCGTTCCCGGGCGCGCAGGGGGCAGTGCCCAGCGGGGTCCTTGCAGCCCCGATGCCCGCACCCGGCCCGGCGCTTGTCCAGCCTGCGCCTGCCCGCGCCTACTCCTGGGGAGGAGGAGTGGGAGAGGGGAGGGGGTATGCACCTAGCCCTGGGCCGGGGGACTGTCCCCTACGCCTGCTGTCCAAGGGGGCTGCTGCTCACCGCCCCTCGCTGCAGCCTTGCAGGGTGCCCAGCCGCACCTAAGTGGACAATCCTTGTTATTTCTTTGGTTACTGAAGATTGACTTGCGGCGCTGTTGCACGGTGTTGAGAGGACTCGTGAAGAAGGGTGATGTTTTGCAAGCAAATTGCAGGTTTTTGGGTGGAATTTCAAGTGATGCTTGGGGCTCCCTGGACCTAAAAAAAACACTCAGTGTGAGCTACCCACGTTACTTAGTTTATAGGGCAGGTGGTTGATTCCTATCCCAGGATGGATTTTTTTTTCTGGCGATGCGTTAGCACTGAAGTCTTAGAGAAGGCATACAGCTTCTGATGAGAAATTCAAGGGGCATGGTGAAAATCTGTGCAGTCACATTTGAGAGAAAGCAGGATGGATGATCAGCTTCAATAGACATTCCGGCACAGCCAGCCTAACTCTGTGAGCATGAAGCACTCAGATGGGGAACACTGGTGGTTTCCATTCACAGACTTAATGCTTCTGTGCAGTCTGTTTTTCTTTCCCTAAAAGTACGGCATCATTCAAGAAACTTGATCTCCTTTCAGAAACCCAGTGTTTCCTCTGCATATGTATATATTACATCCATTTGCACGGATTCTCATTTGAGTGAATTCTAACATCTTGATTAGAAATGGCATTCCATCAACTTAGCTTTGCCATCTCATTTTTTCCAAGGTTGGTTCACTTTTCATTCTGTCATTCTTCCATCCCTAGCTAAGTTTGTAAATGCCCATAATTTTTTTTTAAAAAAGAAGACAGCTTTGTTCTAACACACTTCTCTTTTAAATGACAGCATACATTCTTTACATTTGCTGTAAATGGCAATTTTGAATTCCTGAAGAGATTCTGAAGATTTGGAATGTGACCATTTAAACTTGGTTTTTATTTAAATAAAATATGCCTCCTTAAATGTTTAAGACTGCAGTTTTCCAAAGTAAATGTCCTTCTCATCAGTAACTGCCTTTGTTGGAATCTTCACTCTGACTGAGTATGGGATTCCTGCAATCCTGTCACCAATGTCATCATGAGGCGGTAGAAGGAAATGTGCAGGTTTTCATCTCCTTTACACATCCTTTTCTTGCCTCTTGGATAAATTATTTCCAGAAGTTTCTGGTCTAACCTATGTGCACTACAACTTAGTGACATGATTTTAAAAGCATGTTTGTAAACTCTATTCTCTTAAGTTCTTTTCTAATTATTTTCTGAAACCAAATTGTGCATGAATGAGAGATAAAATGATGATTTTTTAAAGACGTGCTTTTTCCTACCTTATACAAATGGAACTTTGGTAGAAAATTTTTGTATAGCATGAGACAGGGAACCAGGAACCATATTTCAAATCGATGCTTATCTCACACTAAACAGGTATGTGATCTTTGGTAAATCTTTTTAACTCTCTGCCCATAACTTTGATTTTTATATGTGTAGATAATAACTTCTCTTTAGTATCTTTTTTTTTTTTGCTTTTTAGGTCACACCTGGCAATGCACAGGGATTACTCCTGGCTCTGCACTCAGGAGTTACTCCTGGAAGTGCTCAGGGAACCATATGGGATGCTGGGAATCGAACCTGAGTCGACCGCATGCAAGGCAGACACCCTACCCGCTGTGCTCTCTCTCCAGCCCCCACTTTAGTATCTTTATCAGGGTTTTTTTTACAATGTGAGTGCACTGAAAAATAATTGTACAGAAGGAATTGTGGTTTTGTTTTTTTTTTTTTTTTGGATTTTTAAAACTGTGTGCTATTACCAAGTTTTAACTATGTTTTGATACTGTAACACTCTCAGCGTCTCTGCTTTGGTCTCAGGAGTCACCTGCTGATATGATAAATGATCTCCTGTGGGCAGAGTTTCATTGTACAGGAAAATGATCTAATGCATATAAAAACTGCTGTTATGAATAGACAGAGTCATCTTTTACTGTATTGTTTCTCCTGTCCATATTAGGAAGCCACATTTGGTGATTTTTTTCAAGTGTCTTCATTATTGCTCCCAGTGTGAAGGATTGATAAGGAAGTCCGGAGAGCCTTCTTGGTGCAGCAAGATGCCCTTTGGAGGGCAGGGGCATGGCCCAGGTGCCTAACAATTGCTTTGCTGAACTCTCTGTATTCAGGATAGAAGCTGCTTCCTTTGTGGGGTCTTCAAGCCCCCCTAATATAGTGACGCTCTGAGGCAGCAATGAGCTGGATGGCACGGCACATGCTGTGAGGAGTGACAGGTTTCTTGAAAGGGTGACTTCGACCATAACTGATCTCATCTTTCCTGAACTTAATATAAATGTAAAACAGTTCACATGAGTCTCATAGAGTAGAATATTTGGCCTCTTGACCAGGCCTAGTGGGGTTATCCCAGCAGAGCGGAGTTTAGGTGATAGCGTTACTGCCTTTGCTATATTCCACCTACACTGTAACTTTCAGTGTATCTCCCTACTCATTCTGATTTCAGATGCTGTGCTACCACCACAGAGACAGTCCCATTGCCTCTGAAACCTGGGAGAATGCACTTTATCCCTTCAGAAAAAGTAACCATCCTGAGAAGTTATAAGCTTACTCCAGTCATACTTCCAGTGCTCAGGAAAAGTTTTGGCATTCTGTTTTTGTAATCACCTTCAGAGTTTGCACATGTTTAAAACTATCTTTCATGCTATCTATTGGTTTATTTCTAGAAGCTCATAAAAGTTATTTATATGATAGATTAGTTAATAAAGTAGACATTTAAACAATTCTTTGGCATCAATGAATTATGGTTATTTGCATATTATTATATTTTCTGATATGATAGTTCATAGAAAATCTTCAGGAACATTGATGCTGCAGTAGAAATATTGGACAATAGACCTTAACTGTTAATTATTTTTTGGAGACAGTTGAATAGACAAGCTCTTACATATGCATTGTGAGGTCACTCTCATTATGTTGTGATCCTGTATCTTTTGCCTTAGCAACCTCAGAAGCATGTGCATCCCAGTGATCCCAGCTTCCTGTCTATTCCTTTACTATATGCTTGTGATCATTTTAATGGAGTTCCCCTTCTTCTGAATGGGAAACTTTTTTTCCACCTGACTGAATTATTGGATTGTTAGTAAGTTTTCTATTGGATTATATTATATTGTTAGCTATGGGATTTTTAAATCCAGTATGACTTTGCTCAAATATATAGTGCCTAAGAGTTCAATGAATAGTTTTTTTTAATCCAGGTTGTACTCTGTGTTTAAGGTCAATTAATACTTTAGAGCTTCCTTTATATTCCATTTCATTTCATTTCATTTCTCTATTCAGAATCCTAAGCACACAGTGTGAATTATTCTATAATCCATCCTTTTCTGCACTTCTCTATGTCCAACACAAAGCCTTTATCACACCTTCTAAGTCACATTTACTAAAATTATCATGTTCTTTTTCAGTGCCAGAGTTTTGATCTTATCATTTTAACTCCTGAAACCCCCTTTTGACACATTCTTTCTGTTGCAGTGTAACCAATTCTTAGGAGACTGTAAGATCATATCTCTCGAACAAAATCTTCAGTGAAGCACTTGCTATACTGATTTCCCTGACTGTGTTTTAATCACAATTTCTTTCCCTTATCTTGGTACTACTAAGTGAAAGCTGCCTGGAATTTTCCTTATTAGATGTTCTGTGCATGGAAAGTTCTTCAATGCAGATTTGCTATGCTATAAAGATGCTCATGCGACTCTCGGATGCTCAGCCCATTGTAATGACTGTTCTGCCACCTGCCCTCACATAACTCATGTGTTTTTCCTTTGCAAACCGTTTTTTTTTATCACAAATGCATTCCTCATTGTAACCTGGTTGTCATGACTATGGCTCTGCTAACTATCTTGTAGGAGCTGAAGTGACCATGGTACTTGTTAGAAGACACGAAACGAGGAGAAGTTCTAAGACACAAGAGCCGGAGCAGATATCACGAGTGGATTGGAGGCGGACCAAAAGAAATAGCCTCTCTCAGTTACTGGACAGCGATGAAGACCTGGACAGCGATGAAGACCTGGACAGTGGCGAAGAGCTGGACAGTGACCACAGCAGTGGCACTGATCATGACACAGATCTCTGCAGTGACAAGGGGCGGGACAGGGAGTCAGCACTGTTAAGTGACTTGGAATCTGCCACCATGGAAAGTGAGAGAAACACAGACACCCACAGCAGTGCCACAGGCCAGGAGGAGAGCAAAGTGGATGCCTGGGACTCCCAGCAGCCCTCAGCGTCGGGGGCAGCAGGAGGTGCCGTGGACGAGGATCTAGAGGAGGAAGGGCGCATCCAGTGCCGGAGGAGGAAACGGGCATCCTTGGTGATGGATGACAGCGACGACAGCGAGGACAGTGACATCCTGGTGCGGAAGGTGGGCACGAAGCGCCCGCGGAGAGTAGTGGAGGATGAGGCAGGCAGCCCGGGCCAGGCCTTGGTGGCCAGGAGGCGTGCTCAGCTGCAGAAGCTGCAGGAGCTGTCCAGGCAGAGGGCCTGCCGGGGACGTCTTGGGAGCCGCGACAAGCAGGTGTGTGCCCATGCTCACCGCTGCCCTTCTCTTCCCCTGGCTCTGGCTTTCAGGCCACCAGCGGAGTTCCTACTGCCCACAGGCCACTCGAGGGTTTATTTCTGAGGAACCCACTCAGGAGCCCAGCATTCCCAAGTGCGCCCCAGGGTGGGGTAGTTCCCACCCCCATAGTCTGAGCATGCCTCTCTCTGGACACCACTTTCCTTTTTTTTTCCTTTTTCTTTTTCAAACAGAGGTGATTTGTCTTGGAGGGTCTCCCCTGCTTTTAATTTCTGTTTGTAACTTTAACATCCATTTGAAATTTTTCCATCACTCCCCCAGGTATGTTGTCATCTTCGACATTTAGCACTTTAATATTCGAAACTTGAAAATAGAAAAATTGATGTGTAGGGTTATTTATTTATTTGGGTTTGTTTCAGAGTTGATCTTTGTGCTTTACAGTCATGCTTGATTGTTTTAAAAGGACCACTTACTGACCGACCATTCTGTTCGGGTTTAATTAGGACTCTGAAAAGGAATCACACCCGAGCAGTGATGAGAATGAGGACAACAACAAGGAGGACAACGAGGAAGAGGAGGATGAGGACGAGGAGAATTTAGAATATGGTGATGACGGGGATGATTACGTTATTGATGACTTTGTAGTGCAAGATGAGGAGGGTGAAGAAGAAAATAAAAGCCAGCAAGGAGAAAACCTGACCACATCACAGCTGAAATTAGTGAAGCAGAATTCCCTTTGTAAGTTCACAAACAAGAAGTACCTGGTGGATTGTTCCAATCACCGTCTGTTTAACATCTCATCTCTCTTTATTTGTTTGTTTGCGTTGGGACCACAACTGGCAGTGCTCAGACTTACTCCTGACTCTGTGCTCAGGGGTCACTCCCAATGGAGCTCAGGACCATACGGGGTCCTGGAATGAGCCCAGATCGGCCACGTGCAAGGCAAGCGCAACCCACAGAGCTTCCAGATCCTCCTCTCTGACACTGTGTTCTAACTATTAACCCAGAATAATGTTTGCATGTTTGAGTAACTTTATAAGTAGCTAATTCCGGTGGTTTGGGGAATGCTTTGCACTCTTAAAATTTATTAAGTAGCCTATATATTTTTGAGCCTATGAATATTATCAACATTTGCCATTATAGAAATGCAAAACAGATTTATAATATATGGAATTGACAAAATGGCATTACTATTATATGTTCACATAAATGGCATAATTCATGAAAAATAATTATTTTTATAATTAGTTTTCCCCACAGAAAAAATACTTTGTTTTGCACTTCATTAAATATTTTTAACATCTAGCTCAATATAAGGCAGTCACTGTCACTGTCCTCCCATTGTACATCGATTTGCTTGAGCGGGCCCAGTAACGTCTCCATTGTGACAATTGTTACTGTGTTTGGCATATTGAATACGTCACGGGTAGCTTGCCAGGCTCTGCTGTGAGGGCGAGATACTCTCGGTAGCTTGCCAGGCTCTCTGAGAGGGGCGGAGGAATTGAACTCAGGTTGGCCATATTGGCTGCTTGCAAGGCAAATGCCCTACCTGCTGTGCTATCGCTCTAGCCCATAAGGCAGTCATGTTTTAATATTTGCTTTTATGTTCAGTTTGTTGTATTTTTTGTTGAAGTCAGTGGAAACAAATTTGCTTCATTCATATAATAAAAAAATTAATGAAAAAGGGAGGGGTGTTCTCAAGTCAATTTTGAAAAATGTTTGTAGGACTGGAGTGATAATATAGCCAGCAGGGCATTTGTCTTGCACACAGCCAACCCAGGTTCAATCCTCAGCATCCTATATAATTCCCTAAACACTAAACACCCCTGGAGTAATTCCTGAGTGTAGAGCCAGGAGTAAGCCTTGAGCATCATTGGGTGTGACCCAAAAAGCAAAAAAAAAAAAAAAAACCCTTATAAATACTCCCTTTTTACACTATACCAAAGTTTGACAAGGTTAATTGCAGAATGGAATCTGTAACCATGTATTTAATCCCTCCTTACTTACATTATAATCCATTTCTTTGTCTGGCAATGGTTATCTTACATGCATGGCTTTGTAATATTATGCATTGGGCATCAAGAAAATATTGGTTGCCTGGGTTATGCAAATCTCCCAAAGGTTGGCATAGTGTAAAATAGTTTATACAACATTTTTAAATTTTTGTTGGTTTGTTTTGCGGGCCATTCCTGGTGACGCTGGGGGCTTATTCCTGACTCTGCACTCAGGAATCACTCCTGCAGGTGCTGTGGAGTCCCTCTGGGATGCTGGGCATGGAGCTGAGGTAGGCGGTATGCAAGAAAAGTGCCTTACATACTGCACTCTCTGGACCCAATAATTTTAAGTTTTAAAGCTCACTGTGGTTTTATTTTTTAAAAAGAATGTTTATTTGGATTTGCGCCAAACTTAGTGGTCCTTGGGGTTGACTCCTAAGGGATAACTCTCTGTGGGGCTTGGAAAACCCAAATGGGATGTTGGGGTCACACAGCCGGGTCATCTGTGTGCAAGGCAAGCACCTGCCTCTGTCTGATCACTCTGGGCCCCATATTTAGAATATTTCAGAGGAGCCACATGCTAACATCTCTGGACCAGGCCGTGTTTGGGGCTATGTTGCTGTCTTGGGAGTGGGGATGTGAGGCAGTGGGCAGACTTAGGGCTTTACAATGCCCTTGCCGGAAATGTGCCTCCCCTAGTCAAGTCACCTTCCCAGCCCTCAAAAACATGCCTCTAAACATAACTCAGTCTCACCAGAAAATTCCTTAGATTTGGGGAGGCTGTTAAGAATAGAATAGCCAACAAAAAGTTTTAGTTCCTACTTCAAAATCTGTTTTGTTTTGCTCTTTGATTTGGGGTCACACTTGGTGGTGCTCAGGGCTTGCTTCTAGCTTTGTGCCCAGGGGTCACTCCTGGTGGCTGTTAGGTGACCTATGTGTTGCTGGTGAGGGCCAGAGAAGACCGTACAGAGGGCAGGGGATGTGCCTAGTGCATGGCTAACCCAAGCTCTATCCTTGGCACTTCATATAGTCCCCTGAGCACTGCCAGGAGTGATCTGTGAGCACAGAGTTTAGCATAATCCCTGAGCACTGTCTGGTATAATCCCAGCCTCCATCCACCCATCCAATCCACTGGTGGATGTTATCAAGAGGCCTTATTTTGCTTCAACTGCCATTCAAGAATGTCCCCTTATTTTGCTTCAGCCATTGGTCAAGCATGTCCCACTTTTGCTGCCATGTTCAGGCTCTTTTCACATTTTCACAGGCTCACAGAGCAGGTAGAATGTTCCTTAGCATTGGCGCAAGGACAATCCTGAATCTGGAAAAGCAGAAAACAGGCAGAGGATGGAGTGTCACTGGGGTTCTACAGAAAATGGACAGAGGGTACAATAACTACTCTGCAGAAAACAGGCACCTGGTGTGGCACCATTGGGGCTCTGCTGGCTACTGTGGTGACACCTAGGTGACCTCATGTAGCATGAAGCAGTGAGATAGGTCATGGGTGTGCTGCCAGGATTCCTTCAGAGGCTTCCATCCTGCTCTGGGCAGTGGTCTGGTCTCTTCATGACTTACCTTCCCTGCCTTCCTGGGCAGATTCCTCTCAATGTTTAGAAGGCGACAATCATTCAGCATGACAGATGTTTGGAATTAGAATCACTTCCTCTGAAAAGTGAGGTTTGCTCAGTGGCCAACTAGTTTGCCAAGACAACCCGATAAAATTAGGACAATTATAGCTTTTGCTCTTATTTATAGCAATGGTGTCTTGCCTTGGAGAAAGGGGCCTACGGTAGGGAGGAAATCTCATTGTCTGCTGCGTCCTAATATCAATGTTAAACTGATTTCAGATTCTTTTAGTGACCACTATACCCACTTTGAGCGTGTGGTGAAGGCCCTGCTTATCAATGCTCTGGATGCCTCCTTTCTGGGCTCGCTCTATGGTAAGTCTGTCATAGGGGCGGAACCAGCAGGCCTGCTGCTTTTCCTTACTGTGTGCCTGTGTGTGTCGATCTAAAGCGTAGTGAGGATAAGAAACAGCAGCATAGCATGCACCTCTGCATGCATCCAGAGGAAGGTCAGACCTTCACTGGTCCTCAGGAGGATCCTGCTGACTGCTAAAGCCTGAGAGTGTCTTCTCTGCACTCTGCAGGGTCCCAGGAGAGCTCCCCAAGCAATCAACAGTTCTCCCAACTCCTCCCAGGCTCTCTTGGCATCTCGAATCTTGCCAAGACAGCTTAGACTGTTTCATGCCCTCAGACTTGCTCCACTCGACCAGTAAACTGGTCTCCACCTGGTTCGTGGGGGGCGGTGTAACCCCTCCCCCATCTTTCCAATATTCTAAGGGCAAAGTGATGTTTTGTTGTTACACCCCGAGCAGATGGCACCAGGCAGAAGACCTACGCACAAGACATGTTAACATCGCTCCATTATCTGGACAACCGCTTCATCCAGCCCCGTCTGGAGAGCTTAGTTTCTAGAAGCCGCTGGAAAGAACAATACAAGGTACTACTTGGGTCACAGTCTCTGGGGTTCGTGCCAGGGCAGGGCACCCCAGTGTCCTGACAGACTATAGACCTAAAATCGCTGTAACTGGCCTCTACCACTGTCCTCTCATTAAAGCGGTTGCCACAGTGATGCTTGGCTGTAACTCCACCTTCTGGGAATGAAGCGCTTCTGCATGCTTCTCTTGGGGTTTGCCTGTCTGTTCACAGAGGGAGGTGGTCTCCCGGGATGGGAAACAGCTCAGTGACCTGGAGGAGACCCTGAGGAGCAGGCCAGGGCAGCCCCCACCCTCTTACTCTCCAGTTTGTGGTGTCAGAGGAGAAGCCACTCTGTGTGGCTTTCAAGGAGCCCTTTCTTCTCTCCCGGGCTGGATTTCCTGCTGTGCTTCTCTTCCATGTCCTGAGGATTAGAAAAAGGAAGAATAGCACAAGAATGGAGCCAGGGGCACTGAATCCAGAGCTAGCTGGTCTCTCTCTGTTCTCAGATCAGGTTTCCCCAAGGGTCTGGATGATCTGGTGACCAATAAGTCACCAGTAAGGCACCAGTAAGTCCCCCAGGATGGGGCCCAGGCCTAGGGAGGGACTGAGACAGAGGCTGCATCCCATCAGGCTACATTTCAACGCCTCCACCCACCCTGGTGAAACTCTTTGAAGTCCAGTTCCTGGGGGTGTGCCTTCTCATTTACAGGGAAATGTCAATTGTTTTTGAAGGTAAAGTGCCTGGCACAATCCAAAATAGCTTTATCTACTACTGGGGGGGATGGGGGGGATGCATATATTTATTACTTGCAAACTGAAGTGTTTCACAGGGTGTGTGTAGGCACTCTGTCCCTCTGCTTGGACAGGAGAGAACTGTTTTATGATCTGTGAATGGCGCCATACTGAGGGCTGCTGCCTATGAGGAAACTGTGTGATGCCCTCACTGAGGTGTCCTCAAGTAAGTTACACAGCATCTGGGGCCAGCCCAGGGCAGACACAGAAATGCCCTTACACCATAACCCTGCGGCCTCACCAAGCTCACCAGCATGTGCCCAGTCCTTCCTGCTTACCCATTGCTAACACAGGTGCCAGGCTATACCCATTAAACCAACACTTAACACTCCAGGCTCCAGGGTGCCAATTCAGCCCTCACACGGGACACGGGAGAACACAGACATTCCTAAGACAAAGTGTGGCTAATTACTGATTCACACGGTGGGGACGAAAGCAATCTTGGTTTTCTCCATTTGACTGACCTGAACAAAAATTTTTGCCTTCCATTACTCTGAACTTTTCTCCTGCTCATATTTTTTTCCTGTTTTTACCTAGCTGATGGACACTAACTAGAGATAGCAAGAAAAAAAAAAAGGATGTGGGGCTGAAGTGATAACACAGTGGGTAGGGCGTTTGCCTTGCACACAGCCAACCCGGGTTAGATTTCCAGCATCCCATATAGTCCCCTGAGCACCGCCAGGAGTAATTCCTGAGTGCATGAGCCAGGAGTAACCCCTGTGCATCACCAGGTGTGACCCAAAAAAAGAGAAAAAAAAGAAAGAAAAAAGAAAAAAGGGATGTGAATTAAAATCTGTAAGAATTCCAAACTAGTAGTGGCTTGTGTGGGAGCTGTGGCATTAATGTTCCCTGAGTCAGGCTCTTTTCTTTCACTGACCTAAATGATAAATTTATTTTTTAAAAGTTTTTCAAACATCTTACCCAGGCTTTCCTCTTTGGGGTCCCCCATATCCAGAGTCTGAGTGCTAACCTGCCCTCCGCTTTTCAGTACTCAAAGAAAGACCACTGATTTCCTTTTATTTCGGGTCCTCCCTACCATCCCTCCACTCCCTTTCTCCCTCCCACTCCCTGAGCTGCTTTACTGAAACGCCGGGTAGGGACACGCATGTGTCTGGGCCGCCTCTGCCCGTGCCCGCTCTGTCGCTTCCAGGAGCGGGTGGAGAACTACTCCCACGTCACCATCCACTTGAGGAACCCAGAGACGTGCAACTGCCAGGCATGCGGGCTGCAGCGCTTCTGCCGCTACTCGGTGCTCCTGTCTGGGAGGCTCTACAACACCAAGACCATGGAGACAGACGACTTCATGTCGCACGACAAGCAGGCACGTCTGCGCGCTCACGGATGCCCTCTGTGTTCACGGGCAGCAGGAGGCTGAGAGGGAGAGGGCGGGCAAGGGGCAGTTTCTGAACCTGACCCAGGAGGGCCACTAGCCTGTCCCAGATATCAAGGAAGAAAATATGATCATATGCAAAATTATACACAGAATTGGGGGGGGGAGTGTTGGGGATAAAGAATTCAGCAATAAATTGACATTCATTAGTTTCAGAATAAGACTTGGTTGTCTTAGGCCAAGCAGGCTGTGCTATCGCCTTGCAGTCACTTCTCTGTCATTCCCACCCCTGGAGGGGCCTGGGCACGGCCACCAAACGCTCTCTGTACCTGGCCGACCAGGGTTCATCCTGCCTTGGGTAACCATGCTCCAGATCCTATGCCCGAGGCCCCTTCTCCTGGGACCCCTCTAGGGCATCGATGAACCATGTGGGGGGAGGGGGGGCTCCTCTCACAAGCCCCAGCACCAGGCCCAGCGCTTGCTCCATTTGGGACTGGGACTATGCATCAGAGAGCAGAGGGGCAGCCAGGCCCATTTCCCGAACCCCGCGGAGCACAGAGTCAAGCCGAGGCTGTGTGCCCGCCGCTGTGCCTTCCCGCCTTCCGTGGGGTCAGGCTTGTCTCTCCCCCTAGGTGTTTACCGTCGGCAGGATTTGTGCCAACCGCACCCAAATCTATCACGCACTGAAGCACTTTAAGTTCAAGCTGTACCAGGAATGTTGCTCTATCGCGAAGACAGAAGAGGTGGAGAATGAGCAGGTTAAAGAGACAGTGGAAAGAATTTTCAATCAGTCCAAAGAAAGTGGCTGGATTAAGGAGGTAAGGGGAATGGGAAAGAAGCGTCTCGTCCTCCTTTGGTCTGAGTCGTGATTGTCAAGGGGGCAGAGATAGTTAGACGAGCTGCATGAGGCCCAGACTCTCTTCTCCATGTCTTTATTCTTGGCGCCTCTGCGTGGCCCCCACATCTAAGGCCGGTGCTCCCAGCGGCGCCCAGCCCAAGACTGCCCTTGCTGCTTATGCATGTGGGGACTTGCTAGCAGCGCATGCTGGACAGAGTCAGGGTACAGCACTGTCAGGTAGTGCTGATGTCCCCCCAGTCCTGTTGGGCACTGATGTGAATGTCAGGGCTAAAGTGGGGGCATTAAGGCTGCCCTGCCGTCTGCTGGCAGCCCCCCACGAGCCCTTAGGATGTGCTTTGGCGTTCTTCAAGGTGAGCCTTGGGCTGGGAGTCAACAAGAGAACTGCCTGGGGGTCCCCAGACAGCCCTAATCAATATCTGAGTCTGAATGGACAAAGGAGAGCCTGACGCTGACGGGAGCCCCAGCACCTGCTTTCCATCTCAAGGAATGAGGAAAACAGTCACAAACTGAGTGCTAAGTGATCCAGCTAGTCTGTCCCCACCCCAGTGCCCCCCCTGTACCCTCCAGCTTCCCCCTCTCCTTTGCACTCCTGTGCCCACCCCACTGCTTGGTCCTGCCACACACAGCCCTCGCCCTCTCCACCCACTGCCTTCCCGACTCTGGACCTCTCCAAAGGCCTACAAACACACAGATGGGGCTCTCCCCTCCCCCTCTCGAAGGCTCTGTGTGTGACCCTCACTGGTAAGGCAAAGGGGCAAGTGGGGGATAAGAACAGGGCATGGGGAGGAGAGGGGCTGGGGGGGGGGCTGGAGTGATAGCACAGCGGGTAGGGCGTTTGCCTTGCACATGGCTGACCCGGGTTCAATTCCTAGCATCCCACATGGTCCCCTGAGCACCACCAGGAGTAATTCCTGAGTGCATGAGACAGGAGTAACTCCTGTGCATTGCCGGGTGTGACCCAAAAAAATGCTTAAAAAAAAGGAACAGGGCATGATGCCCACCTGGGCACTCAGGGGTCAGCAGGTCGCCAGGGAAAGAGCAAAGAGACCAGGAGGTAAGTGGAGGGAGCAGCCCAAGGGCAGTCTCTGCTTTGCTCTTGTATTTACATTTCAGATACATCACAAAAAGAATCCTTAAGTATGCAGGTCTGTCTCACTCTTTTCAGAAATTCTGGCTTTAGCATAGTTAATTATGTTAACTAATTTGGAAAACATTTGTGAAGATTCCATGCATGTATATATTTTGTTTGCTTTCCTGGTTGGGGGCCAACTGCTGTGGTCAGTCCCCCTCGCTCTCCCATCTTGTCCCCCCTAGAGGGTGTGGACTGATATCCACAGAAGCCGCTGCCCTTCACATCTCTGCCAGATAAAAAATGTCACTGTGGGGTGCACAGGCCACTCTTGTGGCCTTACCTGCCAGAACCCCACCTCTGTCGGGTCTGTGCCTTGGTGGTCACCATGCTGGGCTCTGGAGCTGGCGCGGCCCTGCTGGCTCTGTCCCTGCTGTTCTGGACTGTGAGGAACCATACTTCTGTTGGGCTGTTCTACTTTCATGACGAACGGGTTGTAGAATAGCCCCTGATGCCAAGAGAGGCACGTCAGGTGAGGGTTCGTCTCCCCTCAGTGCTCTGTAGGATTCGGAAACACTTATTTGAAACCAAGTCCCTGTGTATGGCTAAAACAAAAGTGATGTGTTTTTTTCTCATGATACCATGAACAGGGTTTGTTCCCAACCTTGTCAGTAGCTGGCGAGTCATTCCCTCTCTGTCCGTGCCACCCTCAGTAACTTGCTTTTCTATTGCACACCCAGAAATACAGCCAACTTCAAGACTATCTCAACTCTGCAGATTACTTTCAAGATGAGAAGTTTGAATTGTGACACGTTCCCTCCAGAGAAGCCTTTATGAATTCCTGTAAATGCAATCACGATCAATCTTGTTTCTCTGTCCCCTGTAACATATCTGTACATTTTATGTGTATCTTTGTGGCAGGATATCTTGTCTAAGCATATGTTCATCTTTATCTCCATAAAAAGGCACTCTGCAATCTAATAAAACTTTAATCTGCAATGCATATAATACACAATCTGATTAATTTTTAAATTCATGTTGTCTGCAGCTCTGCCTGTGTGTATGGATCCATCACACTCTTGTTCGGCGCTGGAGCTGCTCATGCTCTGTTCAGTAGAGAAAAGACTATTTTTAAAATGCAGACTAAAATCTCCCTGCATTTATGGCTGAACCCCTGCCCAGGTTGTGCATTGCTCTTTTGCAGCACTAAAAGATCTTCACTCACTGACTTTTTACTGTCATCACCTAAATCAGCGGCCAAGGGGGAGGACATGGCTTTTCCTTCCTTGCCAGACCTTTGCCCTGAAAGCAGACTGTGGCCCACACTTCCACCCCTACAGGGTTTCTCTGGGTTTCCCATAGAGCTGAGTGTGGGCCGTCAGCATTCCAGCCTCAATCAGGACCCTCCACATGAGATATGTCTCATGCTTTGAATGCTCATTTTATATTCAATTTTTGTCTGTGTGTTGATGATGGGCTGGAGCGATAGCATAGCAGGTAGGGCGTTTGCCTTGCAAGTGGCCAACATGGCCGACCCGAGTTTGATTCCTCCACCCCTCTTGGAGAGCCATGCAAGATACCTGGAGTATCTCACCCACACAGCAAAGCCTGGCAAGCTACTCGTGATGTATTCGATACACCAAACACAGTAACAATTGTCACAATGGAGATGTTACTGGGCCCACTCTAGCAAATTGATGAACAATGGGAGGACAGTGACAATGACAGTGTTGATGATTAAGATGTATTTTATTAATTTTCACCCATAGCTTTAAAAAATGTATTTCTGTTAGGCTTAAAACACATTTAGTTAAAAACAATGTAAACTCAGAATTGTGCTTCTGCACAACCCAGCAATTCCACTTCTAGGCATCTACCCAAAGGCCTAAAAGCATTATTTAGAACAAAAATTCTGCATTCCTGTGTTCATTGCAGCACTATTCACAGTAGCCAAGATCTGGAAACAACCCCAGTGCCCCAGAACAGATATGTGGATACAGAAAGTGTGGCAAGCCTACCTAATGGAATACTATTCGGCAATAAGGAAAATTAAATCATGCAGTTTGGCACTAAGTGGATGGAACTAGAGAGAAGGAGAGGCACAGGTGCAGAACCATCTCCCATGTGCCAGATGTAAAGAGACACAGGGAGGGAACAGCAAATGGCCAAAGACATCGGCAATTGAGTTGATCTCCTGACCTGAGCTTACTTGGGGTGAAAGGAGAAGGGAGTGGGAGGGTCCTTGGAATGTTTTCAGGGGAAGTGGGCACTGTGATGTTGGCACGATGTAGGCATGACGCTCATTTAACACTGTTGGAAACCATGGGTGTGGATGAAAAGGAATAGATTTTTGGTCTACATATAGCTTTACACATCTGACTTGCCCCTCAATAAAGCAAAGTGTTGTAAGTGAACCAGTGGGCCCCATCTGTTCTGTGTCTTTAATTCTTTCTCTTTGTTTTTGTTTGGGGCACACCCAGTAGTGCTCCTGGCTTGCGTGGGAACCATATGGGATGCCAGGGATCAAACTCAGATCAGCCTCATGCAAGGCGGGTGCCCTAACCCACTGAACTATCTCTCTGGTTCCTGATTCGTTTGCTTCTTTCATGTGACCCCGAGAGTCTGAGGACACTGACAGTCCTGTCACTTACTGTGGCCCTGGTTGGATCTGGCTTCGCCTGTGGTTTGATTTGTGGCATACACCAGGGGCTGAGGCTGCAGAGTCATGTTTTCATGCAGTCCTGACATGGACACCACTTAGTGTCCTCTGGAGCTTCACGTGATTCCTATCCAACTCTCAGCAGCAAGAAACAGTGTAGAAGAAGTGGAGCCCCTGCACCTAGAGGGCTCCGTGTGTGACACAGTTGACACAGAGGTGTCAGTCACTCTCAGTTCTCCTCTTCCCCCTGACCTATGGAATAACACTTCAGGTGAAGTCTGAGGTGAAAGGTGAGGTGAGCGAAGACCGAGATGGGTCCTTGGGAGAGGTGGAGGCAGAGGCAGTGGAGAGTGACAGGGCAGCTGCGGTGGCCCAGATACAGGACACTGAGGCTGCACTCAGCCTCCTGCGGAGTCCCTGCATCCCGCACCCCCACCCAGCTGAGGGGGCTTCTCAGCTGGAAGCATTTTCCCATTAGAGGTCCCCCATGCCCATTGGTCGGGACCTCCACAGACATCACTGCCCCCCAGCAGATGTTGGGAGGCATTTTAGGGAGATAGTGACACCAACAGAACAGCAGAGAGAGAAGCAGGGCCATGGGATTGAGTCTGAGCAAGGCCCAGGACCCAGGGAAAGCAGCCGAAGAGAAAAGTTAAGGGGTGTTAGCCTGCCAGGCACCGTGACAGATGCATCACTTCTTGTGGGCCTGCTCTTAGACAAACAGGAAACTGCTACTTCACAGATCTATCTCCCAGAGTTATGGAAGAGGCGGAATCAGACACTCAGGTAGAAACACCCATATCCCTGAGGTAGAAAGTCAGGATTGCATACGACAGATCCATGAAAAGCTCCATAGTATAAAAGGCGAAAATGTACTTAATTTTGATGAGTTTCCTCATTTGTAAGTGGGATTAAAACTTTTTCCTAGGTAAGTGAGATACATAGAAAATATCCTCCCCAACCCACCCCCAGCAGCTGTTATAAAGGAATAGTTTGTGCCCATGGTGGAAATGATGTGGATGATAATTGGTTTAAAATTAGGTAGCTTTAATGAATAAATGTGGACAAAAGACTCAATGGAAGTGCCAGACACCACTGGAATATATTGTGACCATTTATTAGATTCTTATTTGACAAATGTCTAAGGTGTTCCTGCCATGTATAAAAATCAAAATGTCTCTATATCAGAATGGACTACTTGGGCAAGAGCTCTCTATTATTAATGGAAACTCACATCTGCAGAGTTGTGAACTAATTCAAATTTTGCATTTTCCTCAATCAGGAATGTTTAATGAATGTAATGGGCCCATAGAAGATATTTAATGAGCATAACTCTCTAAACACTCCAAAACCATCTAAAGTCCTTCACTTGTAAATGGAGTTCTCACAAGTTTTCCATCTAGATTTACAAACCTCACAGATACAACTCAGCCATCCTCAGCAGCGGGGAGGGACAAAGCCCCGGAAGGAACAGGTGGAAGGATTTCCCAGAAGGGGGTGGTCCCCAAATGTAGTTTTCCTGCTTTCCAAAAGAACATTCCAAATGCGTTAAAATACAGGGTACTACATTATAAATAGTCCAGGGGTAAAAATGTAAAATCTCTCCTCAGAAAGGACATTCCCCTCCTATGTTCATTGCAGAACTATTCACAGTAGCCCAAATTTGGAAATAGCCCAAGTGTCCAAGAGCAGGTGACTAGTGTTCCCCCAATTCCTATCCCCTTATTCCAACTATATGCCCCCTCCAATATGCTACCTGTTAAAGACCAGTTCTGCTTCTGTTGCCTTTGGTGTCCATTGATCCTTTACTGTGTTATTTTATATCCCACAGGTGAGAGATCATTCTGTTTCTATCCCTCTCCCTCTGCCTTCTCTCCTCATGGTACTCTCCAGATCCAGTCACATGGTTACAAATTGCATGATTTCCTCTTTTCTCACAGCCAAGTAATGTTCCATTGTGTCGGTGTACCCGTTTCTTTATCTAGGGGGCTAAGTCCCTAGCAGCTGCAAGAGGCTGAGCGGTATCTACGAGGTTTTGTGACTGGAAGAAACGCCTGTCCCAAGAGCGGGCAGGGCTGTAGGAGCTGAGGATGCAGCGCCATCACCAGCTTGCTGGGACAGCCCAGGGTGGGGCATCCACTATCTGCAGGCTCCAAGGGGAGCACAGCGGATCCCTGGGGCCAGTGAGAGGCTTCGTGCTGAAGGGTAGCCAGGGCCTGCTTGGGGGAGGGGGCAGAGTTGCTCTAAAGGACAGGACAGCACTGCCCCCCAAGGCAAGGTCTGCATCTGGGCCCCTCACTAAGGAGGAGGATGGCTCTGTGTGTAGCAGTCAAGGCTGGGGGACAGGGTGCTGGAGTGATAGTACAGTGGGTAGGGCATTTGCCTTGCACGTGGCCAACATGGATTCAATTCCAGCATCCCATATGGTCCCACGAGCACCACCAAGCAATTCCTGAGCATAGAGCCAGGAGTAACCCCTGAGCAATCGTTGGGTGTGACCCCAAAAAAAAAAGACTGGGTGACACCCAGCAGGGTTCTGCAGATACCAACCCAGGGCCCACCTTGCTCTGGCCCCAAAGAATTTCCTGGCAAGTCTAATCTCTGCCCCCAAGGGTCGTTCCTCATCTTGGGGCAACCCTGCCTCAGAAGACCTCATCAGAAGTCGTGGACTCTGCCTCTCCCTGTGAAAGTTGGAGACCCGTTGAGCTCAGCTCAGGTCTCACCATGCAGTGGCTGCCCCAGGGGTCTTCTCTCAGGGTCGTTTGCATTGTGCAGTCTGTAGCAATGGGACTTCTAAAGGTCACGCCCGCTCTGAGCTGGCAGGAAGGGGGCTTCACCAGAAAGTTGTGTGTGTATGTGGGGGAGAAACAGACACACGCTTCCCGGGGCACTGCCAGTGACAGTATTGATTAAGGCGGAGTTTCATGCAAAAACATTCCCACACCACAAGCACCTCCAAGCGAGCTAGCTGCCCTCAGCTCCCGCAGTCCGGCCTGCTCCGCCCTGCACACAGGTCAGTCTTGCTCTGGGGAGGAGCACTGCTCCCGGTGGGACAGAAGACTCTCCCTGTCGTGAAGGGACCCTCCGGGTAGGGACAGACTGGATAGGCAGGCAACCCTCCCCGTCGGAACAGATGACTTTCCCGGTGGGGACAGAAGCTGCTCTCCCAGCTGGGACAGGCAAGCGACTCTGCAGGTGGGGACAGACGGGCGATTGGGACACGCAACATCCCAGCCGGGACATGCAACACCGCAATGAGGACAGGCACCACCCCCTGTCGGGACCGGAGACAACCCGGTCGGGACCGCTGGCGCTCCCAGGTCCAGGCTCTGCCGGGCCCAGCGCCGAAAGCCCGTGAGCAGGCGGGAGTCGGCGGGGTGGGCGCTGCCAGGGACCCGCGCCCCCGGCCGCTGGGCGGCCCCAGCGCCCCGCCGCGCCCCGCAGTGCGCCCCGCGTCCGGCAGGGGGCGCCGGCCGCCCCGCCCCGGCCCGGCGGGCACAATGCGAGCCTGTACGGCGGGCAGCGGGCAGCGCGCAGTGGCCCCGAGCCCCACCGGCCCGAGCCCCGCGCCCGCCGCGCCATGCGGCCCCCCGAGTCCCGCACGGCCGCCCGAACCCGCGGCGCGCGCG